GACCCGCGGAGACAGAGAGAGCCCGAAGGGGAGGGCTTTGTATTGCCAAGCTCGACCTTCAAACGCAAACCGCAGAAACTGTCGGTGGCGAGGAAGAGTGGAGACATGGAAATACGCGTCCATCAGGTCTAATGCTGCAGACCAACCCAGAGGACGAACGCACCGGAGGATGCGCTTCTGCGTTAGCATTCTGAACGGCAGCTTGTGCAGGCAGCGGTTCAAAACGCGCAGATCTAGGATTGGCCGTAACCCACCGCTCTTTTTGGGCACGATGAAGCGTGGGCTGTAAAACCCGCTCTCCATCTCGGCTGGAGGGAGCGGCTCGATTGCATCCTTCGCCAGGAGGACAGCAATCTCCTCTCGCAAGACAGGGGCGGACAGGGGGCTGACCCTAGTGAATACACACCCGTGACTTGGGGGGCCGTTTCGCGAACTGAATCGCATAGCCGAGTCTGATTGTGCGTATGAGCCACCGCGAAGAGCTGGCCCGCGCTAACCAGGCAGGCAGAGCTCTCGCTAATGGACTCATCGCTACAATCGCTGACGTACCAGCAGTGGGGCAGCGCGGAGTGGGTGTGCTGATCCGGGAAGCTCGCGGGTCCCACGGAAAAGCTGGAGGTGAGATATTTGCTCTCACTCCAAACCCGAGCTCCGGAGGGGAGGCTCGAGGGGTGGGAGAAAGGAGACCGTCCTCCCAGCGCTCGTGAGCCACTGGCGAAACGCACCGAATCTGCAAGCTAGAAAGCATAGCGTCCCAGACTGGCAGATTTCGGGCTGTCACATCTGGGGAAGTGAAAAGTGCCCTTTCATAATGTTTTCATGGCAGTAAAAAGTGCCGTTGGAAATGGGGCCCCGCCCTCCAGCGGGGAAAGAGCAAGTTCCCTCTTCTCCAGATGGCCTGTCCCAGGGGCGCTTCGCGGTCCGTTGCCGGACTTAGCGGCGTTCTGGGCAGGGGGGCTGCCTGCTTCCGAGGTGCCCGACGCGCTCGCTTCGCCGAAGGCGTGTGCGGGGGCGGAGCAGCTCTCGTAGGCGGGCGCCTTCGGCGAGGAGCAGGTATGAATGGCACGGCGGGCGGAGCGGGCTACGGACCGCCGATAAGACATCACCCACCAACTGCTCTCTCACCGCCTTGAATTCCTGGGTGAATTCACAGACAGTGTCGCCGAACCTGGCTGGGGATATGGGGAAGTCAAGAAAGCGGACTTTGTCGACTTTGCGCATATCAGCCAGGGGTGGCGCTCCTGGACCACTAATGTGGACATCGTCCTCCCCAACGCACACGCAGCGGACTCAGTAGTCCGAAGAGCTAAGTCGGCGGCGGTGCGAAGCTCGTAAGCCTGGGTTGGACCCACCCTCGTGCAGCTCGGCCAGCGCCTGCGCTTGGTAGCGCTGGTAGGTGGCTATCGCATGCAAGGCGGAAGCAGCCTGGCCCGCAGCTATGTAAGCTCTAGCTCCGAGGGAGGTAGATAACTTACAGGCTTTGGATGGGAGACGAGGCGAACCCGCCAAGAAGAGGCGCCGTGCGGATTTACCGCCATCGCGCACTCAACCTGAGGAATCGCCACATACCCCCTGGCTGTTTCACCGTCAAGAGTGGTTAGGGTGGAGGAACACGCAGCACGAGCAGAAAAAAGTGCTTTACAAGACCGCGTGAGCCTACTGTGCACCTCCGGGAAGAAGGGAACGCCCCTCTAGTCGGTCCGGCCGCGGAGCTGGGGGATAAACCATCTCCAACCCACGGCCGAAGCAGCCCGGGAAAGCACAGCTAACATGTCCGTTTCAGGATCCGTAGTGACAGCGCTCACCAGCCCGAAGGGGGCGAGCGGGTCTGGATCATCATCGGACAATGAAAGCCCACCCTCCGATGCCGCGGTGGACATCTGGTCTCCGGTGTCATCGGGTGTAAGGGCTACCATCTGTTAGACGGATCGCTTCCCCCGCCCGAAGCTTGGATGGAGCGCTTAGAGGAGCGGGAGGTCCGCGGGCCCGTGGGCGACGGATTATCTCTCGCTGAAACCCTCAGATCTGCCCGAGTGCCCGCTGCAGAGCAGGGGACAACTGGGGTGGTTCGCCCTTTTGCAAAGGCTAACCGCGATCTTGCGCAACAGTCATGGCATCGCAATGACGACATGAACTGCCCGCGAGCAGCGCATTAACATGCTGGACCCCCAGACATGTAACGCAGTGCCCGCGCCCATCATCCGAGGACAGGAAACCACCGCATCCAGAAACGCACAGTCGGAGCGCCGTCCTGATAAGGACGTGCTGCACGACTGTGTTGCTCTTTCTGTGAAGTTTGCAACTTTATACGCACCGCTCTGGAGGACCGGACCCAAAGAACGCCAGGCAAGGGAGAAACCCAGCTCGACCGTCTGCCACTGCGTGTACACACTCTGGACCGGGAGAATGCTCTCGTTCGCTCAGAATCGCTGGTCACAGCAGGAGGAACCCTCATCGACTCGATCAGAAAGTCTCTGAAGCGAAAAGGATAGCGTCTGCTGGCGCCAGGTGAGCTTATATACTCAGTTGATTGCTTATGCCGCTCACCTGCGCAGGCTTGCGCTGCCAATTCATTCTTAATTGGCCCGTTCAATACTCTTTCAGACGAGTAGCTTCTGAACCGAACCTCCCCCCAATGCGTGGATTTTACAATCAAATCCACTTATAGTGCTGAAGTTCCCCCCGAAGGGGAACCAGTTTTATGCTAGCTGCCGATTAGAATACAAGATGACGTCATAGTTCCTCCACTCTATAGAATGATCAACTCAATTGAATATCAATGATCAATTAGTTTTGTCAAAACGTCTATGCATGCTCCTCATGAAGTTTGTTTGTAAAACATCACTTGGAGAGGTACTTTAGAAATATTTAAACGAATGTTTTACTCATTTTACAATAATATTATTTATGTCAGATGACCAAAATTGCAGTAGTTTTAAATTTTATCCTGGCTCTTTCAAGCTGTATGATGTTGTTGGATAGTTTCCCTTTTTTGAAGTTTCAAACATGCATGAACCTGTTGTAAAACTAACCCACTAAAAAACTAACAAAAAGAAGCTTTTCTTACTTAAAGGTCTCTAGATTCATCTAGATTTAATTTCGATTACAGCGAGATTTATCTAGATTAAAAAAATTATCTATGCCTACCTATAGTATTTTTATATTCTGGGTAAGGCATAAGACTTAAAAATGTTCATCCACTCAAAAATTGTCGGGGCTGAAATTCCCATAATTCTGATAAGTAGCCCAAACTGTCTGTCAACAATTGTAGATTTGTACATCTGCGCACTCATGTTCACGCAGACAGATCTGCGGTTTGTGCGTCCATGTGCGTTCGTGTGCACACGAGAGAGTTAGTTTTATATTCACATAGGTTCATTTTTGAACAATTTAAACATTTTAGAAGTGTTTGTGATTTTTATTCATCATAAGCTAAAGCTTTCTTACAGGCAGAAGTTCACACTGATCATGCAATCATATTGCTAGCACTCCTTCAGCAGATTTTTACAATTGCAGGTTTATAATCAGTATGATATCTTATCAGGCAAAGCATAATGAGGATTATAGTAGATCATTTTCCATATAAAACCAATGCCAAAATGTTAGCTGATTCAAAGAAAAATCCAATACTAAGAGGCTTCCCTAAATCCCTTTTTAAAAAAAGTTAAACAGGGATGTAGAATTTAGTACATTAATAAAACAATTTTTGTTTTTGTTTTCAACTTTTTAGTGTCTTGACATTATTTTACAGAAAACTAAATAATACTGCATCTTCTACAGTTTTTCTTGTTTGCTTTGACCTGGTTAAAGAAACTAGGTTCCTCTTTATTTTTATTATCACTATCCCAGCAGAGCAGAAGACAGGTCTTGCAAATGTGTAAACCCTTTCTCATTGGGTTGACACATTTTCCCCACCATTATTCAAAACACAGATGTCATTCAAGCAGTCCAAACTCCATTGTTTTAGTTATGGTAACCAAACAGAAATCATCTATTCCTAACTATTAAAAACTACCAACATCAGTATGAAATCACTGAAGCACCGGTTTGACACTCCTTCACACAAATCTTCAATTAGCCATCAGTCTGCAAACCTTATAAAAACGATGGAAGGTCTGTGTTTTTCTGTGCCAGCATTGATGGAGGAGGTCAATATGGCTATGTCCTATACTCCCGACAGATTTGACTGTATATTAGTTTACATGTGTTTTCTCTAATATTTACAGTATTTTGTTACTTTTATTGTTTTTTTTTTTTTACAGTATTTCAGTTTTCAGCCACAGTTTGAAAAATGTCATGAATTCAATATATATTTAATCATAGCATATCTTATTCTGGATCCAATTCTTTGCAAAAAAGCAAATTTGACAGCCCAAATAGAAAGACAACAAATGCCATTTGCAATAAGCTACAATGGCAAGCAATGGTGGTGCACTGAGTTCTGTATTTTGTTGTCCATTGTGTAATGATTAATTGAAAGAGCTCATATACTAGTTTGCAAGTTGTGTTGTTTGAAAGTAAAACTAGCTTTTGTTTCATATTTTAAATGTTTTGACACAATATGTGCCTTTTGCAAGCAAAATGTGTCATTTTTTCAATCCTGTGTGTTAACTGTTTTGAAAATGTGGTGTTTCAGTTGACAACTGCATCAAAGCAATCAAGAAAAACTGTAATATTTCTGTCTTTTGTCCAACATATGTTTAAATATTATATAAATGCTTTTGTTGTTGTTGTTTTATTGTGATGTTTACTATGGTGTTTTTGCTTCTGAGTACAGAAAAAATGTGAAATGCTTTATTGTAAATGTACATTAAATGTATATGCAATGCATTTGAATTTAACATTTCTACCCAAGTGAATGCACTCCAACACTGATACATCTTCTGAAAAATGAGGTAGTTTTGTGCAATCTCAGCAGAGAGAGTGAGTGAGAGAAATGAGAGAGAGAGAGAGAGAGAGAGAGAGAGAGAGAGAGAGAAATGCGTGAGAGAGACAGAGACCTCTGCTGTTTCTGCTCCTGTTTGATTCTCATGGCCTCCAGTCGGAGGGGGCTGGGAATGAAGCTGATGTCTGCCCCCTCTTTCACCAGCCTTCCAATCCACCAGTCATTATTGTACTTCTGCAGCACAAACACATACAAAAACATCCTCAGTGCTATTATGATTGTGCTATTAAGAAAACTGACCTGCAAAGCTTTCGTGCATGCATTGAACCACAACTCCAGCTCACCTCTTTAATGTGCAGAAAGTCTTTGGCTTCAAAGTTTATGGCAGCACCCTGAACAGGACATTCCTCATCTAGAGCCCCGCAATAATTCACATTCGTCTTCACTGCGAACGCTACAGGTTTGGACTGCCAGACAAAACTCCACAACTTCAGTGATTCACACTTTTTTTTTAAACTGTAATATAATCACTCAATCTTCAACCTTACAAATTTGCCCCACAAAAAAGATAGTCCCCTGTCCCAACACATGACCAAAGCCATTTGTATGATGTACCTTGGTTAAAATCTGTCTCAGCCAATCAACATTTGTGATGTCATCACAATTAAAACAGCTCTGCAGAAGCTGCAAGTTGAGACAACCAAATGTGTGTTGTTTACAGTATATTTGCTTTAGAGTTATTTTACACCTTGGAGGAAGGGCAACTTAAAGGCCCAGGTATACTTCAAGCTAAACTGAAGAACTAACTGAAATGACATCATTTCGAACAAAATTCAACCAAAAGGAAGCTGAATTTAGGTTTGTTTCAGGAGTTCAAAACAGCTCCCCCAAAATTTTGCTTTGGCTCTTGAACACCATTGAGCTAGCATTGGTCCATGACGAGCACACATACAGTGTGTGTTCTCTGGAACTCCGCCTTCTTTGCTGTGCGATTGAATTGTTACTCATTCCACAGAGGTCAGACATGGGAACGAGTCAGCATCCAAAATAACAACATCAAGTTAGCAAAATGAACAATCAGAAGGGTCAAGTACCAGAGAAAGTGTTAAATCCCAGAGTCTTAAAACGTCTTAAGGGGGCAATTATTATTAGGGATGTCCCAATCAGGTTTTTTTGCCCTGGATTCCAAGTCATTTGATTTTGAGTATCTGCCGATAGCAAAACCTGATCTGATACTTCTATAATGTATAAAAAAAAAGAATAAAGAAGAGCAAAGAAACAGATCCAGGATGTCCTGGATTCAATAACTTTGTTAACAAACAGAGCACTTCTGGGAGGTATTTTGAACAGTCAAGTAATAAATAACATAAAATATTCACTTTTGGACTGTACTGCAACAGTAAATATAATGAAAAATCCAAAATAAAAGCAAACAGCACCTCAACTTAAAATACCCGGCAGCCAATCCCAAGTTTACATATCCCATGGTTATGGAAATGTTGTCGTCATCCACTTAATAAAACCTCCAGACTGCAGACATACTCTGGCTATCTGCTTCAAGCTGCTTCCGTGTTCTACTTTGCCGGCATTTACCCGATAGCATCTATTATAGATGTTTTAAAAATACACACATTGGCATAACTATAGCTGTGTTAAAATAATGACTATATATACAGTTGAAGTCAGAATGACTAGCCCCCCTTTGAATTTCTTTTTGAAATATTTCCCAAACTATGTTTAACAGAGCAAGGAAATTTTCACGGTATTTCTGATAATATTTTTTCTTCTGGTGAAAATCTTATTTGTTTTATTTCGGCTAGAATAAATAAATTTTAAAATTTTTTTAAAACCCATTTAAAGGACAATATTATTAGCCCCTTTAAGCTGTAATTTTTTTCGATATAGTCCACAGAACAAACCATTGTTACAATAACTTGCCTAATTACCCTAACCTGCCCAGTTAACCTAATTACCCTAGTTAAGCCTTTAAAAGTCACTTTAAGTGGTATAGAAGTGTCTTGAAAAATATCTAGTAAAATATTATTTACTGTCATCATGGCAAAGATAAAATAAATCAGTTATTACAAATGAGTTATTAAAACTATTATGTTTAGAAATGTGCTGAAAACAATCTTCTCCCCATTAAACAGAAATTGGGGAAAAATAAATAGGGGGGCCAATAATTAAGGGGGGGGGGGGTAATAATTCTGACTTCAATTGTTATATAAATATATATATTAGAGCTGTCAAAATTAGCGCGTTAATGCATGAGATTAATTTGAAATATTTAACGCGTTAAAATAATTCAAGCAATTAATGCGGTTGCAGTTTTTTATTTCCTGTTGTGGCCGATGTGTGTTCAACGTGCAAAGAAATATGGATAAGACCAAGGAAGTTCTTTTTAGAAGGAAAGTTTCACCAGCATCACCAGGCAGTCCAGCTCCAGAGTTTCATGCAATTTTGGATGTTTCATTTTTTATGTTTAGAATTTAACTACAGTTCAGCAGTTCACTTTCATTCAGCAACATATTGTTCATGCCCCATGAAAATAATTGGATGAAAATATGAAGTAAGGTCTGCTGGAAGGGTGTTGTTTTAATGGAATTTAATACCGCTTGACAAACGGAAAGAAAAACCTCAGCATTTCGTGACTCAGGTTGTCCTTAAAGGTTATCTGCTTACATGGTTGACTCTTAGTATTATCTTAATCATAAAACCAGAGTATTGGTTTCCATGTAAATGTACTCATTGAAAGTGTTAGATGATGTCGCAAGCTGTCAGAGACAGCCCATTCCTCTGCCTTTAAGTTGATTACACGCGCTCTCAAATGTTTCATTAAGTTTGACGTGTTTACCCGTACATACAACTTTTGTAAAGCGTCTGCTTTACACTGCTGTGTAAGAATCCTTGCTTGTAAAATACAGCCAGACTTTAGAACGATTAGTTTAAGCAAATTTGATGAACGCGATTGTGTGTGTTGATGAATCTAAACTGTGCGCATTGTGTGTGTGTGTGTGTGTGTTTCCTAGCAACAAGAGCAAACGCCTGACATCGCTGAAGGTGTCCAAAGTCTCTTTAAAGCATTCTATATGTATTCTATAGTCTTTGCTATATTCGTATCTCTTAAAGCTGTTTAGAATTAAATGTTTAGAGATGGTGTGACCAAAGTCCCTGTAAGAAGTCTATAGTCATTGGTATGTGCGTTTGATGTACCCCTTGGCCACATTGTCCCCCGATAATGTCCATAGACTGGACTGTTTAGCAACTGGCGAAATGTTAGAGAGTACTAAGCAAAATTGCTTCTACTTTATTATTAATGTTCTCAACTCTCAATACAAGTTTACAATAACTACAATTGCTTGCATTTAATACTTTATTATTATTTACCTTTCCATTTTCCATATTTGCAATGCCTGTTTTTATTAGGTTTTTTTTTTGTAGATTACTTTGAATCCAACATGGAAATCATTTCTGTTTGTTAATAGCATTGATTGATTGTTTTGAAATTCCAATGGCACTTAAATGCCTATGTTTTTATTTCTGTATAAATATGGCTTTTCACCATTAATCATGATTAATTACAAAAAAAGAGCGATTAATTAAAAAAATGTGGTGCAACGTGGTGGCACTTCTTGTGCGACAGGCTAGATGAAGCTAACACATGATCAAGAAACTGTTCTTTTCTCAAAGCCATCATCATCGTTGTGTTTAGGTGTATATGCAATCAGAGCGACACCTTTACAACCCCACCTACTGCAGCGCAGGGGTGTTGGAAGATATGAACACTATATACAATGGGTTCTCAAAGTCAATCCTGGAGGCCTGTAAGAGCCTAGTAAGAGCTTGATTATCTAGACCAGGTGTGTCTGATTGGGGTTGGAACTAAAATCTGCAGGACACCAGAACTTCAGGAGCGAGACTGAGAACCCCTGCTGTATACCATCGTTCAGCCTTTTTAAACTTCTTTTTGCCCTCAAACGAAAAAGAATTGAATTTGAAGTATACCAGGGCCTTTAGTGTGAATTGGTGAGTAAGCCAAGGTGTAAATTAACATTAGCACCTTCATACATCATCCAAATACTGGAGTCAGGACATTAACCACTTAAAATTCTGAAGTTACTCTCGCGATGATACTTTGTTTATTTCCACCATGCAAAACAGAAAAAGCACATGAAAGGAGAGCTGCAGTAACCTTGGCTCTCTCGAGCTGCAGCTGGGCCTGGCGTTCGGCTTCACGCCGATACGCCTCGCGGTCCTCCTCCGCTGACAGGTCGGAATCCGAAGGTCTGCTCGTGTACGAATCGGCTGAACCCTGCAGGACAAGACACAGGGAGAATCAAGAACATTTGATATATTGGAGGATTATAAAAGCATAACAAATAGCCCATGACTTGTTCTGTAAACATAGCTTAGAGTGTTCAAAACACTCTCATCCATCATTATAAAACATAATATAGCTACAGTAAGAGTCTAAGACAGATTTAATGAAAAATAAGATAATTGAACCAAAACAAAACAGTCATTTGGACTGACCTTTATAGCCAGACATTTGCAATGAAGGGATACAAGAAACATGGTGAAATGTAAAGAGACCTTAATCATCTACATAAGTATATTAATGCCTGCCCAATATTCTAAAACACTTCAGTGTATATTTAAAGCTGAACAGTATGACATACAATGTTACAAGTACAGCTTCTGTTCTATATGGAAAGCATTTATTTGATGTAAGTGCTTTTATTTATGCAGTATGTAATGTATAATTGTGAGCCCACTTTATATTAGGGGTATTTAACTAACAGGCACTTGTCTCAAACTAGATTAAAGGAAGAGGTCATCCAAAAAGGAAAATTCCTCATCATTTCCTTACACTCAAGTGGTTCTAAACTTTTAGTAATATCCTCTTTTGTTAAACAAAAAACAAGATATTCTGAAGCAGGCTGTAATAAAGTAGCCATTGACATCCATAACAGGAAAAAAAAAATATGATGAACGTGAATGGTGTTTTTTTTCTTTAACTAAAAGAAAAAAATGGCTCAGCAATCAATTTGAGTGGATTGTGTTGTTATGTAGGAGGAACATAAGTTATGGACAGGTTCAGTGGTACAAGTTGATTGAGGTTGGAAATAGGTTTGCTGGTTCTGTTAAATTTAAGGATCGAAAAAGGATTTTTAATTGTATGGGTGTATAAGTGTTGTGGAATCAGTTTAAGAGTTAGTGAATGTTAAAAACAAGTTTAGTTGTATAGCTGTTTAAGGGTTGATTAAGGCTGAGGACAGGTTTTGTGGTGAGGATATAGATGTTGGTAAGGGTTGCTGAGGGTCCAGTTTTGTGGTCTGGTTAGGTTTAGGAGTGGAAACAGTTTGCGTTGTATGGGTGGGTTTGCAAGTGGGTCAAGACCATGAATAAGTGACAAGTTAAGGTTAAGGAACAAGTTTATGAATGAGTAGGGTTTAACGGGTTGCTAATGGTTAGGTTAATTGATTTTATATTGGTTACCTTGTTTAAGATTAGTGCTATAGGTGGATTTATGCCTAGCTTAGACTGCATGACTTTAGCTAGGGCTACTCGATTATGGGAAAAATCATAACCACGATTATTTTGGTCATAATTGTAATCACGATTATTTAAAACAATTATCAGTTGAAGTCAAAATTATTCGCCCTCCTGTGAAATTTTTTTATATAAATATTCCCTAAATAATGTTTAACAGAGCAATTTTTTAAAGTATTTCCTATAATAATTTTTTATTCTGGAGAAAGGCTTATTTGTTTTATTTTGGCTAGAATAAAAGCAGGTTTAAATATTTTGAAACCCATTTTAATAGCTCAATATTATTTGCCCCCTTAAGCAATACATATTTTTGATTGTCTGCAGAACAAACTATTGTTATAAAATGACTTGCCTAATTACACTAATTAAGCCTTTGAATCGCACTTTAATCTGAAACCTTGTACTTTTAAAAAATATCTAGTAAAATATTATGCACTATCATTTAATCAAATATAAAAGAAATCAGTTATTAGAAAAGAGTTACTATTTTCCTCCCTGTAAAAAAAGGTAAGGGAAATATATATAATAAAATAAAAATATGAAACAAACTGTGATTAAAGCATCTTCACTGTAAAAAAAAAAAAAAAAAAAAAAAACTTTCATTATAGCTAGAAAAAGTCCTTCAGTCAAGAACAGTGAGTGATTTAGTCCTTTTGTTGTTTGATCAATATGAAAAACTGTCGGCAGCAGGAATATTGCGTGCTGTAACTTTAAGAGCAGTGCGATTCAGATATGAATCTGAATCGCATTTCAAAAATCGAAATTGAAACCAAATTTTTGATTAATTGCACAGCCCTAACTTTAGCTCGATTTTGAATTGCTGACATGTTTTGAGAAGACGCCAATAGGATATTTGCCATGCTAAATATCTGGAGATGTAGGCGATTTAAATCATGCTGTGTGAAATGTGTTCTGATTGAAAATTACATCAGCGATCACCTACAGCCAATGAGAGAGCAACATCCACTAGTATGGGTATATGCTGACCAGCGGATGGGGAGAAGTTTTCAGTCTATTTGGACCCAAGAAACATAGGAAAACTAGTGGAAATTTGGCAGGAGCACCCGCGTCTGTTTGACATGTCATCTAAGCAATACCACAACCAGGTCAAAACAGAAAAAAGTCAAGGAGAAATTGCTAATTCCCTTCAAAGGCCAGGTGAGCAAAATAAGTAAACTTTCTACCCCACTAAAGGTTTCTTTCTCACTATGTAGTAAATAACGAAAGATATACAGTACTATGTCACCTCACATTGTTTCCATGTCACTTCTTGCGTGTGTTTGTTTGTGAGAGACCTAGTTTGCAGACCGAGGCAAATTTGTCTGCGATTTTTTTTCCAATTGTAAAGTCATGCAGTGTGAAACTCCCTGTTGCCAATCCATCTTGCAGTGTAAACAAAGCAACGTCATAATGCCTGCCCTGATAGTCATGCAGTGTGAAACATCTGTGACACAACTACTTTGAAAATCGCGCAGTTAGGGGTAGGTTAAGGTCAGGCACAGGCTTTAGTGGTTTGGTTTAGGGGTTTATCAAGGGGTAGGTGATAGTTGGTGTAGTTAAATATTTAATTACAAGAAATAATTCCATATATAAATACGAGGAGTTATCTTTTAATAAAGGTAAATGTTTGATATATAAGAGGTCATCGTACTTGAAGGTCACAGGTTCAAGTCCTGGCCCTGGCAAACTTTGTTAGTCAGTGTTGCGTTTATAAATGTGCCACATGGAAGGTTTTGGTTCCATTTCTCTATGATGAGAGCACAGCTTGCATGTAGATCCATATGTGTAGATTACAGTGGTCTGTGTTTGTGATGTCGCTGTGAAAATCAGCATGTGCACGTAATGAAACTCCCCTTTTTATGCGAACTCTTCCCTCTTTCACCACTTGGTTTGTGGCCCTTTAAATGCAGAGCACTAGGTCACCATACTGAGCCACTTGTCACAATTTTCACTTTTTTTTTTTACTTTAAAACACCTTGGAGATGGTAAATTTAGTTAACCTTTCTGACAGATAAACATTTAACAGATAAACAACTGGCTCATTTACTCATCTAGTCGTGACATTACAATGATAAATTGGATTAAATTTTAATCATAATTGAAGATCAGCAAAGGTTGTTTAAAGAGAAAGGTCTGAGGAAATGTTTGTTTACTCATACTGACGGCATATTTTATTAATATAATTGAAAACTTGACATCACAGTTTGATCACATTTAAAACTCAAAAGTGCAAAAAACCAAACCTGAGGATGTCAATTTTCACACTGCTAAAACTTGAAAGTGAAAGCAAACCATTGAAAAGGGCTCAAGTTCACCGTGCATCCCAGATGTTTTCAGTTTATAATCATAGAAACTATTTTAAACCACTATAAGGATGTGATTAAGCACTTTGAGGGCAAATGAGACTGCACTGACTTTTTTCTGTCACAGTTTAAAAAAGAAACTGGGTTAAAGCATCTTAAGGTGTTGTCGGTTCATTGTTTTAAAATGTGGGACCAGACTTTGGCTAAAATATATTTGGTATCATGTAATTCTCCTTTGAAAATGTGCTTTACGTATCAGAATATCAATGCCTTTGTTTTGGTCTGTGTAACTCCACCCATAACCAGTTTAACCAAATATAATTCTTCGGGGTACAACACAGCTTATTTTATTTCAGTCATTATAGCTGCCTCAACATACACGGACTTGGCCGTAAATGCAGCTTCAGGAGGACAGAAGCATCCTGCGAGAGGCAGATTCAGAGTTACAAAAATCCACATGAAGTGGTTTTAAGTTTGCAAACAATGCAATTATTACAAATGCAAACATTAGCTGAGCAGCTTACAGTGTAAGGCTCGATCATCAGGCACACTCATTCCTGTTGGTGTTGACAATCTGGCATCAAGTCTGAGGAGAAGGACAGAGTGAAAAAATTCCTATCCAGTATTTTGAATATAGACTACAATACTTAGTTCAACCACTGGGTGTCAATGCTACATACAGCCCCTTTAAACACCTTAATGCGGACTTTTACTAAAAACTAGCAAACTCTGGAGCCCCAAAACCAGGGTAGAAAAAAAAGCTTATTACCTACAGATTTTGATGTTTTTGGAAATAAAAATCGCGTAAATGTCATCTATATGAATCTCAGATAAATGTATAAAAATTAGTTGTTGTTTTTTTTAAAGCTAGTTCATGACACCTTTAATTGAACAATTAGCACATATTACTTGATGACAAAATGTAAAGTGATTCCACTCCGAAATATTTGTTTAATATTGAGGTTCAAGAACCTTAGATCTCAGATTACACACTAAATAACAAACAAAACACTGTGTGAACAGTAAGCTGTTTTACAACATTACTAGGCCAAATTAAATGCCTTTTAGAATTTTAATGCATAGCATGTGGAAAATGTTAATTTAATCATGAGCTTAGTGATGAAGAAAAGCTTAAATCACTTCTATTTCCTGTACATTCAACCGCTGTAGCAAAATGCTTATAGTCAGTGAGTCATCAAATGCATTTCCAGTGGTCTGTACAGTCCTAACAGGCACAGCCAGCTTCAAACTATTCACAGAAACACACAACAGACACACTCCAATGAGGTAAAAATTGAGTTTGTATGCTACAAATAATGATAATTCATTAAATTCAATGGGTTATGTGCCATTGAAATTCTAACACTCCAATTTCATCTGTATGGCCTCTAAGGTGACGAATTACTACAGCACTAGAGCGTTGAGCCTGAGGCAGTCATGTAACGCTCACAACAAT